ATTGTTATATGATTATGTGCCAATTAAAATGCCAGCACCCCTGATTTAATTCCCAAATGTTTTCAGTAAAGGATTAATTTTTTCCGCCTTTTTAAAGTATTTTCGGGAATTTAAGTACTCCAGCGTTTGAGGTTTTGCCCCAGACATAATTTCTCGAGCTAAGGTGAAGGCTCCACTCTCAACAGTGAAGGCTATTAAGACCGCGATTTTATATCTAACCTAGGATTGCTGGCCGCCACGTAACCATACAACGCTTTCAGTCAGCCGACTGCGTTTTTGACTGGTTACCCTGACAGTCGAACCCTTACAGAAGCGCTTGACTACTGTGGAGATTGAGACTCACAACCCCACATCACCTCAAATCTAGAAAGCTTCCAGAAATTAGGAACAAATTTTACTGTGAGCAACTTCTAAATAAATAATCTAATAATTAAATAACTCTAATTATCTGTCCCTACAATATCATGTAACCATAATATCACAAAATTAACGGAAAGGGAGGCAGCATCGATGGAGAAATCTTGAAGAAGTGGACGGATCATCGTGTGAAACCTCCTTCCCTTAGTAATGCCTTCGCAGCCAGAAGTTCGCCTCTCCTGTCGCGGATGGCTTTCAATGCTGCTTCATACTGCTCTGGAATGGAACCGTAAATTGTGAAACAAATAAATGAATTGAATTGCTGATGAACCTATTGGTGTGTGTTCTAATTGAGCAGCGAGTTAATCAATCAATTGAGTTCATTTGCTAACAAGACACTGTAGGTAAAAGTAGACTTGAGACACAAATAAACAAAAAATGCAAGTAGGACAAATAAAAAAAGAGTAAGATTGAAATTTTGATTGTTTGACAAATGCTTTACGGGAAGTTAACTTAAAGAATAACAAAGAAAGCTTACTTTGCACCTCAACCTTCGCACGCTCGATGTCTCTTTTGAATACCCTGCAAATAAGAATATTGATGTTCCACGAACAGTTTATCATTGGCAGCCAACCTTTTATTAGGCTCATAGCATTTAAGGTCTTCACGAACAACAGCTGATGTAGCTGTGAGAAGAGTATTCTGAAAGATAGCATATGGATGTAGCAAATATTTAAATCTAGAAAACATAACGAACAAGAAGCTTTCTTTTTCTACATATG